ATCCCATGCATGAATCAAAAAACAAAAACTACAGGTTTCAGTTAAATTAAAAAGTTTAAAAATCTAGGGAAAAACCATCTTCCACCTTCCATCCCCAACATCACTACTTTGCATCCACTTGCTAGTCTAATCTAGGAGATATGTCAATGAGAATACAGGCATTGGGATCAGAAGCAAGCCATTCAGCCATTCAAGCCTGTCAGCCCTCAAATATCTTGGCTAATTTTCTGCCTCGTCTCAGTTTTCTACCTTAGAGAGCAGAATTTACTTCACATAACCATAAATCCAACATCATCAATAAAAATGCAGAAACTTGGACCTACTGGCCTAGTAATCCCCATGTTAAGGTTAACATGCAGGTTCAGTTGGCAGTTAGCAAAGTTAGCATTTCAAGAGGGCTAGAATGCAACAGCAGACATGTACTGCTGCTCAGCCTACATTTGCAACATTGAGCGTTGTTTTGGACCCCGAATCTAAGGATGCGCTGGCGCTGGAGGGAGTCCAGAGGAGGCTTACAAGAATGATCTCAGGGACGAGGGGCTTGACAAATGAGGAACAGCTGAGGACTCTGGGTCTGTACTCCACAGAGTTCAGAAAGACAAGGGGGGGAATCTGATTGGAACTTACAGAATACTGGGAGCCTGGATAGTGTGAATGTGGAGAAGATGTTTCCACTAGTAAGGGAGACTAGGACTTGAGGTCACAGCCTCAGACTAAAGTGATGTCTCTTTAGAACTGAGATGAGGAGGAATTTCTTCAGGCAGAGTATGGTCAATCTGTGGAACTCAGCCTCCACAACCCTCTGTGGCAATAAGTAATTGAGCATCTTTAAGGCATAGATAAGTTCTTGATTGGTAAGGGGATCAAGGGTTACAGGCAGAAGGCAGGAGAAAACGGGGTTAAGAAACATGTTAGCATGATTGAGCAATGGAGCAGACTTAATGGGCTGAATGGTATTATTCTGCTCCTAAAACTTATGGTCTTTTAGTAAAGGCAAAAGAGAATGGCTTAGTAAAGGCAAAAGAGAATGGCTCAGTTAAGCCTGATTTTGCTTTTACCCAAGTTCTATCCTTGTTACTAAAATCCATTCTAGCTTGGAAACTCTTTGCTGGGTATTCCCTACCTAACTGGGTGAAGTGCAAGAATGGTGACAGCTTCTTTGTCTACATGTTTTGATGCAATGCCTTGCATTGTATTTACTCACTGATACACTGGATGGTACTGTCATCTGCAATGATTTGTAAGCTTTCAGTACCTACTGTTCCTGTAACAGTCAACACAGGCAATCAATCAATACAAGGTGGCTGAGAGGTTAAGGCGATAGTCTGCTAATCTATTGTGCTCTGCACACGTGGGTTCAAGTCCCATTCTCGTCGCTAATTCCATCAGCTTTCGCTGTTTTCTTTCTTTGGGTGGCACGGTGGCTCAGTGGTCAGCACTGCTGCCTCACAGCACCAGGGACTCAGGTTCGATTCCAGCTCGGGCAACTGTCTGTGTGGAGTTTGTACCTTCTCCCCATGTCTGCGTGGGTTTCCTCTGGGTGCTCCGCTTTCCTTCCATAGTCCAAAGATGTGCAAGTTAGGTGGATTGGCCAAGCTAAATTGCCCATAGTGTTCAGGGATATGTAGATTAGGGGGAATGGGTCTGGGTGGGATGTTCTGAGGGTCAGTGTGGACTTGTTGGGCCTAAGGGCCTGTTTCCACACTGCAGCGATTCTGTGATCTGAGTGTGGATAGGTTCCCTATATTGTTTCTGTTGGCACACGAAATTGGGTCTTCACACATGGAAGACACTGAAGAATCACAACTTACTGAGAGCTATATTGGTCAGAGTTTCCAAACAGTACTGAACACATTGCCTATTTTTAGGGTCAGGATGGAGGCAACCACAAGAGAAAATGTCATAGCCAGATTTTAAAAAATGAACTTGTATTTACATTACCGCTGGCTTACAAACAGATCATGTCAAAGTAAATCACAACTAGTTGATTACTTTTAAATGTGGTGACGATTGTATGCAGGCAAACCCTGGAGTTATAAGGTTTTACAAGTTTTTACAGCATGGAAAGAGGCCCTTCAAATGGTCATCATACCATCCATCTATTCTAGTCCTATTTTCCAGCAATTAGCTATGGCATTTTCAAGTGCTTATATTAGTTCTTAAATGTCGTGGGTTCCTATCTCTACCACCCTTTCAGGCACTAAGTTCCAGACACCCACAAACCTCTGCAAATAATTTTACTCAAATCCTCTCTAAGTCTCCAGTGCCTTATCTTAACGCTGTGCCCCCTGGTTATTGAGCCTTCTAAGAAAGAAGGACCAAAAATAATTCTTCCATAGCACCTTTCAACAAACAAAGGATATCCCATCACCCATGATTCATTTTGAAGGGTGTATGAGCACACATGCCAGTCAATCTGCATACACCATGAATTACAAGCTGTGTGTGCTATCAGACTGTGTGCTGGAAGTGTCCCCTTGTGTTTCTTTGAATAATGTTTGAGATCTTTCACATCCATTTAGACAGATTAATGAAGCCTCAGCACAATTGTCACCAAAAACAAAAAGGCACCTCCAGCAACAATTCCTCGCTACTATACTGGAAGGTAGTCAAGGTTTGATGTATATGGAATTAGGCTGGAACCCAAAAGCAACAAATTACATTATATAACATCAGCCATACAGAGAAATAATCAACAACACTTCAGAGGCACAAACAGATACAAATATATGGCGATTTAATGTATACACTGGCTGGTTGCGAGGTAAAGGGTATTTTGGAGTGAAAATACCATCCCTAACAATGCCCTCATATAAAAGGTACAAGGTACTATAAAAAGTAAAATTCCAGCATTTGGATCACCAATGCAAGTCTTCACAGCAAGAGGCCACCCAAAAACAGAACAAAGGGCAAAAATGGAATTTGGAATATGGTATCAATATCCATCTGACAACTGCTTACAAAAATCTCCTCTGGTCACCACTGTACGTGCTGACCGATATAAATACTGGTCTCTAAGAGGTAAAACCAGGAATTTCCAAGATAACATATCAATTTCAACTTCAGTGCAAATGTGGCACTTCGTTTAATTTAATAAGGATAAGCCTCCTTTATGGACCCTTTTGCTAATGAACAAGAGAGGGAAATGTGATGGCCAGATGCACACAGAGCAGCAGTAATTCTATGGACTAGAAATGAAGGGGAGACAAGCAGACTCTCCATTAGAGAGCACCATTGTTTCCTCTCTTTCCATTAGACACAATCAGCACTCCTCCTCTCTCCATTAGACACACCACTGAGTAGCAGCCAGTGACTGACTAGTGGGTACCTCAGGAATCAGTGTTTGGACCACATCCATTCACAATCTACATTAATGATTCAGATCAGGAAACTAAATTAATATCTCCAGGTTTGCAGATATAAAGCTGGGTGGGAGGGTGAACTGTGAGAAGGATGCAGAAATGTTTCAGTGCAATTCAGACAGGTTTACCGAGTGGGCAAATACATGGTAGATAAGTACAATCTGGATAGATAGGTGGTTATCCACTTTGGTAGCAAAAACAAGGAAGGTTATCTGAATGGCAATAGACTACGAAATTGGGAAGTGCAACGGGACCAGAGTGCCTTCTACACAAGTCATTGAAAGCAAGCATACAGGTGCAGCAGGCAGTGAATGCGGCAAATGGTATGTTTGCCTTAATGGCAAGAAAATTCGAGAACAAGAGCAGGGATGTCTTACTGCAGTTGTGCAGGACATGGGTGAGAGTACAGTGTACAGTTTAGGTCTCCTTAACAGAGGAATAAGGTCCTGGCTATGGAGAGTGCGACAAAAGTTTACCAGACAGATTCATGGGATGGCAAGACTGATGTATGAAGTGAGACTGGATCAATTAGAACTATATTCACTGGAGTTTAGGAGAATGAGGGGGATCTCAAATAAGTCTATAAAGTTTTAACAGGACTAGATAGGGTAAAGACAGGAAGGACGTGTCCAATGACCAGGGAGTCCAGGACAAGAGATCACAGTCTAAGGATATGGGATAGGCCATTTAGGAGTAAGATGAGGAGAAATTTCTTCACTTAGAGTGGTGAACCTGTGGAACTCTCTGTCACAGAAAGCACTTAAAATGTTTTCAAGAAGGAATTAGATATAACTTTTAGGGCTAAAGGGACAAAAAGAAAGCAGGTAAAAAGGTACTCAGTTGGATGATCAGTCGTGATCATATTCGATGGGGTGAATGGCCTACTCCTCTTTCTATTTTGTATGCCCACCCCACTGAACACACTTGTCATTCCCCCTTTCCCTACTGGATATACCCATTGCTCTCTCTCTCTCCCCATCATACAGACTTATCCCCTTGCTTCAAGTTCTACACCGCCCTTTAGTACAGGATAAACACAAAACTCAACATTATAACAGAGTTAAAACAGGCTGGAAGTACTTAGCAGACTTGTTGTGGATGTACTCAAGTTTCAGAGGACAAGTGTTGTA